AATATTCTTAGTACAAAAGTGGTTATCTTGATGTAAACCCTGGAAAATTTGAGAACTCTGTTGACTTCAGCTTTGGCGATTCTTGCAAAACGCATTGCGAGATTGAAGGCTGCAGTAATATTGCAATAGTTCGGTGTGCTTGGTGTAAAAAATCTTTATGCTTCAAACATTTTTTTTAAGACATTATTGTTCATCATTTAAAGAATAAATAAAACTAATTGTGAAAGTTCACAAAAGTTATTGAAAATTAATTGAATATTAGCTGATTAAAGATACGTATTCCCTACTTTTCAGTGCTCTGTAACATACCATAATTTTATCAAAATCGAGGATTCGTTTATTGTATTATTTATCTATATTGTTTTATAATAGGGTTTAGGGGTAGTTCATCCCTGTAACAAAAGATTATGCGAAAACACCGAACCTGGTCACCTATTTTGTCATTTTGTATTTGAAAAACATTTTTTTATATTTTTGTAACAGTTCTGTAAAATTTTACACGAAAAAAATACAACAAAATACAGTTTTACCCCTATTAAACCTAAGGGTTGCAACCCGTATTATCAAAACCTATATAGTTTTGTTGCGGTTTTTATTGATTGGCCTAAGAATCAACAGCCTAATTGCCGTAAAGTCCAGGTGTGAAATAGCCCGAAAGAGGGGTTACAATGTCAACGGCGCTAGTTCCGGATGAGAGTGATTTCATTGGTCGCTAGCTAATATAGATGGGTTTCTACCCTCTCCCCGGAGTCACCGTTCGAGATACTTAGCTTGCGCTATGTCTCGTCTCTCTTGACACTTATTCGCTACTTAACCATTACGAATAAAATTACACTGTCTCAACACTGATTGTTCGATATTGTTTTAATGTGTTCTCATTTTTATATTTAAATTGGTCCTTAGTTTAACGCGCTACTATTTAATTAATTTGTTAATTTTTACATGCGAATGTGCATACGTGTATTGTGTAAGTGGTTAGTGTATTGTCTGAGGACTGTACCCTCTTCCTTTTCACAGGGCTACACCCTGCTGGATTACTGCTCAGCTTCATTGTGTCAAGTATGCGTCTATATGTCACTGTGTTGTAAGTGTTTTAGTTTAAGTTTGATTAATTATAAGTTTAGTTTACACTCACAGACTGCAGGTTTTTTATGCCTATCTTTCTTCGTGTTAAATATACGTTGTTTTAATGATAAATTTTGTAATGATGGAACGAAGGGAAATAGTGATAGATGGAAAATCACTTAATTTTAATTACATTCAGCAACGTTTCATTAGCACATTTGCTGACCTTTCAGGCTTTATTAATAAAAAAATACAACAAATTATTAACAATAGAGTTTTCACAAGTAATTTTAAAAGTATATAATTGTAAGTATATGTGTATACCTGATTTATCTCGTAGTTAAATTATTATAGGCTAAAACGAATAAATCGTAGCACAGTCAAAATTAAAGTGAGAAATCAAGTATTTCAACTCATATATATACTCTCCATCTATTGTCTCTTCCTCATCGATCTTAATAAAGGCTTATAGGTGTGACTAAGTTATTGTATATCCTCTTTTCTATTTAACGTATTTTTATGTAAGCCAATGTGTAACATTTCGGATATTCTTCGTTTCTTATAATTCTTTTCATAATCCAATATCTTAGCTTTTTTCCAGTCAAATTCGTGTGAGAACGTTCTTCTATGTGTAGCTACTACTGTATCAATGTTTTTTTTTGTGTTGGTTTAATCTAATTTTTAATGAACGTTTACTTTCACCTATGTAGACCGCTGAACATTGTTTGCAGTTAAAACTGTAGACAATACCATTGTTGTCTAATAAATCAGATTTGTCTTTTCCTAAACGGACAAACTCTTGTAATGGTTTTTGTAATAACGGGATAGGCATAATGTTATGTTTTTTTAACACAGATGAACATTTTTTGAAGATGATGCAATTATTAGGAATAGCGACTGTAGGTAATTTTTGATTTTTTAATTTTTTAGAATTATTATTAACTTTTTTGTATTTATTGATACCTTTTTGTATATGTTTTTTGATAAATAAAACTGGATAATTATTCTTCTTCAGAATATTAGTAATAATTTTTAAATTGTTGGAATAAAATTTTTTATCAGCAAGTAAAAACACTCAGTCAACTAAATTTGAAACTATATTAACTTTTTGATGAATTGTATGTTATGAGTTAAAATTCAAAATTTTATCAAACTTCAAAATATTTATATACTTTTAAAATTACTTGTGAAAACTCTATGTCAATAATTTGTTGTGTTTTTTATTAATAAAGCCTGAAGAGGTCAGCAAATGTGATGACAAAACGTTGTTGAATATAATTAAAATTAAGTGATTTTCCATCTATCACTATTTCCCTTCGTTCCATTATTACAAAATTTATCATTTAAACAAATCATAAGGGAATCAAGACAGTATGTTACGTATACGTTGTTTTATTGTTCTTTCGAAATTATTCATTTTTATTTCTTTTCCTGTCCACACACTTACATACATATATATATTAAGTATTGAGGTCGAGGTCAACTCACGAAAGTTAAATTCAAAACAATTATTAAAAAATAAAAAAAAACCAAGTTAACCGAGGATCGAATCCGCTTCCTTCGTATTACTAAACCAGCAGTTTACCACTTTGCTATTAACGACTGTTAGGAGTAGTAATATTTTTGTTGGAGATATAATTTAAACAGCCTATTTACTTCTACATATTTAGATTATCTTAATTTTTAATTAAATGTGTTGTGTTTTTCATATTTCTTATTTAAGATACTATTATTTAGTAGAGCCAAAATATTAATAAGTAAAAAAAAAATATGTCTAAAAGATACATATATAAAATACTTAAATTTTATTGAAAGTCCTTTTATAATTGAAAAAAATTATTTTCTGCAGCAGCTATGATATACAATTAATATTATATTATAGAAAACTTGTACAATTCTAAAAACTAGTAAACTGAAATCGATTAAATAATAAGGTCAAAAATATCATTTTAATAATCTTAAGTTACGTCTGGATTATTTATCCGGATTAAATCTTAAGTACGGAAAGCAAACGTATGAATATTGACAGCTTATTTTTGCTTTGCATTCTCATGTCTAAACAGTTTACTGAAAAAGCAAAGGTTTGATCTCAAATTGGTAGTATACGAAATTAATAGTCATACGATTATATTATTAAAAGTTTATGTATGAAAACATATAATTATTCTTATCTTTATGTTAAAGTTGTTATGACCAAGAAAAATGTATAGGACACGCATTCAAATTCACAACTTTCAGCTGCACACCTGAATGCCTTTCTTGGGAGCACAAACTAACAAGCGTAGGCTAGTAAGGGGTACAAGAAAGCGTCATCGCATTTGGAACCTATGCAATTTTTTCTAATAGAGTTTGTAGCACGTTCGGCTTATCTAGAAACATTGAAATTTTCAAAAGGTGAATAAACCTCTTCTCTACCTCTTTTTCTTAAAACGAGAACGAGTGAGAAGCTTCTCGATTTATTTTAAAAATACCGAAGTAAGAGAAAAACAAAGATGAATACTTTTATTTTTCATTTTTTAAAACAAATTGTAAAATTTTAATGTAACATTCACAAAAAATTTCACAAAAATACAGAAAAAGACACAATAAAACTAATGAACGAATGACTTTCGAAAAGATTTTCGAAAAAAATTAGGATGTTTCCTACTCTCCAAAAGATACTCTCATCAAATTACAAAAAATCTTTGAAGAAAGAACATCGATTTCGCTTTAGACATTCAGCATGTGAGGGTTTGTTAACGCAACTCAACAAGAAGCTAACTTAAAACCTTATCTCTAACAAGGGAACCACCCCAACCCGACCTCAACGATTTGAATGATTTTGAGATATGTTATAGTACTTGAAAAAAAATTCGATACGTTTTTTTTTATCGGCCCATAAGGGCTTTTAAGGGATGAAATCCACTCTGAAAATCAACCCCTAAAATCAGTTTTTTTAATATTTCTCAGCATCAAATGAATATTTTTCAGTAAACTCAACGTTAAAAAATTTCTTATAAAAAGGCGCTTTTAAAGACATAACATTTATACCGAAGGGTTGCAACCCGCTTTTTAATAGGGGTAAATACACTATTTCTTGTACTGTTTTACGACATGTAATATAGTAAATCAGCTCGAGTGATTTAAAAATCGCATTGATAATAAGAAAATACTAAAATTAAATTGACGTGTTTCCGGATTTAAAAAAAATATATTTAAGGGATGTTTCACCCCCTAGAAACCACCCCCATCAAACTATCAGCAGGTTAATCTACCTAACCCTGGGATAAACAAGTTTAGTCGTTTGTTATTTCTTGAAATAATTTAATCCTATGCATGAGCGAGCTACCTCAACTAACCGACCTGCCTCTAACTCACCAAACCCCCATAATAGTCCAGGCGGTATAGACTCGAACGCAATGTTGGCTCGGGGCAGGCTGGAACTTTGTGTGTGGGTCGTATATAGTATGTACAATAACCAAAAACTATTCGTGGTAATTCGTAGAATGTGTTTATTGTTTAAAGCCCGTTAATTTGACGAATTTTTGTAAAGTTTCACGTTATTTGCTAATAACTTCGAAGCTATTGATTCTACAGGAAAAAACCTGGATACTTTTTTGTTTGTCTTGAAATACCGAACAGAAGTAGCTGTTGCACGAAAAAAACAATTAATTTGTTGGAAAGTTACACGCAAAAAACCAATCAATAATTAATTATAAATAAACTATCGAGAGACGATTATATTTGTATTGTAACGCCTCGTAATTGACATAAATTACTCTCTTCTAACTAGAGAACACGTGTGCGAAATCTGTACTCGGTAAGTGAAATAGTTTACGACTAATAGCGTTATAAACAAATTAACGAAAGCTCACTCTGTACAAACCTGAGTTGAATTCGTGGTGACGGTGATTTTTTCATACGTAGATTTCGTTATGATATATGGAAAACCGTTATTACTTGGCAAAAAAATGCAATTTTGCGACTAAGAGAATTTTTTGTTTGAATTTCCTTAGTTGCAAAATGCAATTAACACTGTTTGCAACTTTTATTTTAAACTTTTGATTACACACGTTGATGGCAAATTCAAAGAGCAATTTTTTGTTCATCCAGGCTGATTTGCTGCTAGTATACTTCACTGGTAACAAAATATTTTCTCCTTTACACTTAGCGAAACATCTTGGTTTTGCAAATTTCCCGACGACTAAAGGCGTAATTTTATGCGATCCCGTCACATTGGCGCAGCACATGACCGTGACTCGTTCCTTTGGCTCTTTAAATCCCGCTCCTTGTCTTTCGTGGCCTGCAGCTAAAGTTTTCCGTGGCAGCGATCTGAAGTATAAGGCCGTTTCATCTGCGTTGTACATTTGGTCCAAAGAGTAGCCTCCTTCTACGATGCAATTCTTCATTTCACTTTTGAAGTCTTCTGCTCCAATACTATCAGCAGACAATTTTTCTCCTTGCATGAATAATTCTCTGATACCATAGCGCTTCTTGAAATTGTCGAGCCAACCGCTGCTCGCCTTGAATTCGCCTTCGAGTCCTTTCGCTTTGTGGAGCTCCAAAGCCTTTTCTTGAAGGTAACTACCCGAGATTGGTGTTCCAGCAGCACGTTCGTCCTCGAACCAAGAATATAGCGCTGTGTCACGGATGTTTTCTTCTGTACGAATTCTTTTACTATCTAATGGTTGCTTTAACTGCTCCAGCGCCAAGCTACGCTTCAATATATCTGATTTTGAAGATCTGGTATTTCTGATAGTTGAAGAATCGACGTTATAGAACTTTGCCAAATCATCCGTCGATTGTCCTTTCTCAAGCTTGGCGATGATGTCCAGTTCGTCTTTAATCGACAAGTTCACCTGGTGCTTCCTGATGATTGGGGATTCTAGGCCTATCTGCTGCTGGCCGTCCATGTCCCTCACTCTCCGGATTGTCCTTGATTATACATTATATTCCTTAGCAAGACTGGCCATCGACTGCTTTTCAAACAGTTTCTGTTTGATATCGGAGATTTGCGCTGCTGTTAAAGACTTAGACATGGCAATCTGAAAAAGAAATTTTTGTTAATAAATAATACAGTAAACAATAGTATATATAAATGAAACATAATTCGTCATTTATTGTACATATAATAAAAAAATAAAATATACGTATTTTTTCTTTTGTAGTTTTCAATGGTTTATAAAAAAATTATTTAAAGAATTTAGTGGAAAATTTTTCATTTTCAAAAAATAAAAGCATCAATCGAAGCTACGAAAAAAATCAAGGCGAAAATATCTATGATGTTTTTACGTCAGATTTTGATTTATCGTCATAATTTTTTTCCATAGAATCGATTGGCATAATTAATTGTCGAAAATCACAATAATTTTAATAAATTTCAATTGCTTATAAATATTGTACACTGACAAAAAAACGTCATAGTGATTTTCGTCTTGGATTTTGAATAGAATCGATTGGTGGTTTCAATTTTTCACGAATGAAAATTTTCATTTTAAATAATTTTTTTCAAACAATTGAAAGTTCCAAAGTAGAAAAAATATATATAATTTATTTTTAATTATACGATGAAAATCGTAATTAATTTGTCTCTACATCATCCATTTTCTGCATGGGCCTTAAAGGATATATACATATGTATAAACAATTTATAATTGAATTTTTCTACTGCAAATAAACTGGATAAAAATTATAAAACTATCAAATACTTGTTTTTACAAGTTTTTTAATAAGTGTAGAAAGATTCTTAAATTTTGATTTATTTTAAATTGTTAATTAAAATTTACTTATAACTTTGTTTTGATAAACAAATTAATTAGCAGATATATAAAATATGTACTTTACGGGTTAATACAATATAAATATCAAATTAAAAATACATTCTTGCGTTATTTTGTAAAGGAAAATTATAAAATTATTAAAACGTAATACACTTACCGTTCAAATATTCACTGCAAAAAAGTCAATCAACATGTACAAATCCTTAAATATATACGTATACATGTATATATATAGTGTATACAACAAACTGACTGACTATGTAAATATAATCAACAGGAAACTAAGCAATGCTTCGAGACAAAATTTTCTATGACACAAACAAACCTACGACTGGATAGATTTGAAAGTCAAAATAGACTGATGTAGCAGACGGTTAGGTAGAGCTAAGCGCGAATAATTAAAATACATCTGACCGATAGATGTCGGACGCGCCGGGAAAACTTCTGGGCAATCCCAATGTTTTCCACAGCAGGTACCGACAGGTGTTGGGGTAATTATTAAGTAATTATATTAATATCTCGGAAAACATTAAGTGTAAGCTGGTTGATTCGACGTGGCAAGCGTCTGCCTGTTGTTTTATGACAACATATTAGATGCGGCATGCCTCCTCAATGTTTCGCTCGTCTGGCGGTGTGGCGATTAGCCAGGGCCGCACGCAACAGCTTGGGTGAAATGAGTGCCGCGTTTTACGCAAGGCTGTCTCAGTCTCTACCAGTTTCGGCTGTGATTCGGGGATGGCCGAGGGTTATCTCGAGATCATTATCACATCTTAGTTCTAGAAGTAAGAGAGGGCAGGTGAGGCCTGCCGGTGAGGCCGTAAGAGAAAGAGAGGGGTTCATAAGTTTAAAATCGGATTATCTGCATCCATAAAACTAAAAGTTTAAAGTCGGATTATGTATGTGTATCCATAAAACTAAAAGTTTGAAGTCGGATTATCCATACATATTCGGAAATCTATTGAAATTATAAAGAGGGAAGAATAAGCCTTCCAATAAGGCCGTGAGAGAAAGAGAGACCCCCTGGTACGCAAGGGACAGTGTACGGCCCTGCCCCTTGAGAAGTGCCGCGGCGCAGCCAGCGAGAAGTGCGGGGGCACAAGAAATGCCGCAACGAGAAGTGCCGGGGTTCGACTGTATTGATTCAATTCTGGGCCTTCTTTCACCAAAACATTATTCATAATTTGTTGTTCTTGTTGGCTAAAATCGCAACTATCCATTATTAGCTTACCCAAGACTGCGTGTACCATTAAATGAGCTCTGTCTGATCTTGAGTAGGCCGTTCCATTCAGTACTTTCTCACAAGAGTTCTCGGCGAAGAGCTCGCAAAATAACTCTCTCAAACCGCTGTCGTTCATAATAAAGTGTACAGAGCTAGTAAATGAAAACCATAAATGGAAGCCGCCTAATCGCAATATTATTTTGTCAAACTGTTTTTGACTTTGATCATCTACAGCTTGAGCTCGACTGTGTGTAAGAACTTCTTGAGCTTTCCAAAAAAGTGGCGAATCGAATGTTATAAACATGTACTCCTGGTTAAGCGTTTGTCGTAATTTTTCTGCCTATATAAGTGCTGTATATATTGTATTGTGATTACTTGCTGGGGCATTGATAAATGGCATGATTTTAATCTTGCTTATTTGATAAGGCTCATTTTTAGTTAACTTTTCCATAAATCCGTTAAAAACCCCGATATTGTTCATTTTCTGAAATACTCCGGCCATACATCCAAAAAAAAATCTTGTTTTGATAATCGAACGTCTCTTGAAATTTTATGGATTTCATCTAAATCTTTTACTTCAATATTCTTGAAGCCACCGTCGTTTGTCTTACGAAAACTTCGAAGATCTATTTGACCTAATTTTGCAAGTTCTTCTGCACTCAATGTATTTCTCAACCGTACGATTGGCTGACTATCGGATACAGCACTTTTGGGTGTAGTTATTTGTATCCGACCCAACACGTGCAACGTGTTTTTGCCATCAGCAGTTTCCGAATTATGATCAGCGTTATCTAGAACGAGTTGAGTGAATGCGCCTTCGCTATATTCATGGTCACTATTGTGCGAGATCACTGACGATAAATATCGCCGTACTTCCTCGTAGGACTCGCAAAATCCATTAGCGTACAATAATTAAATTAATTCTTTAGAACCATACATGTGGTGCAGCACGTTTGCAACATTTAGCAGCACAGGTGATACGAATGACTTGGGTCTTGTTGCTCCAATGATTGAATGTGCTATTGAATTTATAAGATCTTTCCAATCGTCCGGCTTCGTTTTATGAGTAGAAATAATATTTTTTAAAACTCTTCTCAATGATTCGGGAACAAATCGATGACTGTTTTCCAAAAACTTATCTTATGCCGGATAATTGAGCAAATCGTATTTCATGTTCATAATATCATTGAACAGTATTGTAGAACATTCATCAAGTTTTCTCGTTCTCTCGCCGTCAACGTCATTTGGTTTATTACTTGTAAAATTAACCGCGAGTAACGAACGTGCCAAACTCAATTTTGAGATAATAATATCGTCGTTTAATATTTGAATGATAAATTCTGACCCAACTCTTTCTTGCAATTTGCTCTTCAAGTGTGGAAAAGTAGGCCATTCTTGAATATCTTTGTTCGTACTTATTATACTTTTAAGTGAAAATTGACTTTGATCTTGCATTGAGATGTAATTACAAACAAAGTCTGCTACGTCTACCTCGGCTGATTCAGAGAAATTTACAATTACTTTCGTGAATGGAGGATGTTTCATACACTTTTTGTGATACGCAGCACTAGCCTTGACTAAACATTCGACTAACGACATACGATTTATAAATGTTATTGCTTCTGTAGTATTTAATTGACCATATTTTTTTAACAATGAATTTTTCAAATTAGTATTGCATACTTGTGATACTTGTACTCGCGATTGTAAGAACTTCTTGCCACAAAATAAACAATTGTTTGGAAAATCAAAATGAGCGATCGTAGCACGTGTCGTAATTTTTGCCTGCGGTATACCTTCGCTTTTGACTTGAGTTGAAATGTATTTTAAATTTTCTTTCGAACTACACGACTTCTGGCAACTATTGTGAACTTTAACTTCACTTTTTGTTGAAAGAAATTTTTCAACGTGTAAATCACCTCTTCTTCTACTTAACTTTATTAAAGTTTGAATGCCTCTCTGTTTGACCGTCAATGTCTCATCATCGGACGCAATTGGGTTCTCACATAAAACGCATTTGACAGTCCAATCATTCTCGGGCTCACATGCTTCGGCCATCGCAAGAAATTTATTCTCTCTGGAAAAAAAAAGAGTCGTTAATAATTTAATTTTAGTACGCCAAATTAGCAGCATTTTAAAAGAAACAGGCAGCGAGGACAGTGATTTTACTACACAAGAAGAACGGCATGGATATGAAGTTGGTACGTGAATTCATTTAGACAGGTAGAAGGGACAGCACCCTTGTGGCGCACCGGAAAGAACCGTTATTGTACAAGGCTCAGCCAAGTAATTCCAATAGTATATTATACTGTGGGTGCACAGTATATTCGCAGGCATACAATAATTTACTAGATGCCGAAAACAAGCGACGAAGTTGCGACTTTTATGTTAGTGGCAGAAATAAATGTTATTTATAATAAACCTCTTAATGTACTTCCAGAATTACGTGGTCCTTCGTACGTTGATAGAAACAGACGCTATGCCATCACAATTGCTGAATTACACGATATGCCTGTAAAATTGAAACGTTGCATGGTCAATTACATGAGATACACGCTTGAATATACTGTTACATTTAAGCTTTCTTGTTATTATTCAAATATTAAATAAAAATTTGATTGGCTATCAAAATCTCATCAAGTAAATTGGATCTAAAATTTTATTTAAAATAAGAAATTCAATACTTACGGATGATTTGTAAGCGTCAAGATTATTCGTGCGACTCAGCTGCGAACTACACTGTCTGAAAGTCAAGGCACGACTGCCAGCTGTACATATAAACAGTCTAGTCATGGCGCCTTGGGTTCATAATGTGCAAAACCTTTTCTGTATACCTGCGTTCGTCCTTCAGATTTACGAAACCGAAAGAGAAAGTGGCGAATATTTTTTTGAAACGTTCGAATGGTTTGAATAT